GTTTACAGTGCATGAAATGTTGTCTAAAACAAAAAAGAATGATGCATTTTATAGCTGGATCAGGTTTTATTACATTCTGAATTGGACGTTGAAAATGAGCTTATCTCAGCCAGCAGAGAGGTCAAATCACAGTAATGCAAACTCAGTCAGAGACATAGATTTTCACTTGCAACTTGCTTTAACATGTTTAACAGTGCATGAAATGTTGTCTAAAACAAAAAAGAATGATGCATTTTATAGCTGGATCTGTTTTTATCACTTTTTGAATTGGACGTTGAAAATGAGCTTATCTCAGCCAGCAGAGAGGTCAAATCACAGTAATGCAAACACAGTCAGAGACATAGATTTTCACTTGCAACTTGCTTTAACATGTTTAACAGTGCATGAAATGTTGTCTAAAACAAAAAAGAATGATGCATTTTATGGCTGGATCTGTTTTTATCACTTTCTGAATTGGACGTTGAAAATGAGCTTATCTCAGCCAGCAGAGAGGTCAAATCACAGTAATGCAAACTCAGTCAGAGACATAGATTTTCACTTGCAACTTGCTTTAACATGTTTAACAGTGCATGAAATGTTGTCTAAAACAAAAAAGAATGATGCATTTTATGGCTGGATCTGGTTTTATTACATTCTGAATTGGACGTTGAAAATGAGCTTATCTCAGCCAGCAGAGAGGTCAAATCACAGTAATGCAAACTCAGTCAGAGACATAGATTTTCACTTGCAACTTGCTTTAACATGTTTAACAGTGCATGAAATGTTGTCTAAAACAAAAAAGAATGATGCATTTTATGGCTGGATCTGGTTTTATTACATTCTGAATTGGACGTTGAAAATGAGCTTATCTCAGCCAGCAGAGAGGTCAAATCACAGTAATACAAACTCAGTCAGAGACATAGATTTTCACTTGCAACTTGCTTTAACATGTTTAACAGTGCATGAAATGTTGTCTAAAACAAAAAAGAATGATGCATTTTATAGCTGGATCAGGTTTTATTATATTCTGAATTGGACGTTGAAAATGAGCTTATCTCAGCCAGCAGAGAGGTCAAATCACAGTAATGCAAACTCAGTCAGAGACATAGATTTTCACTTGCAACTTGCTTTAACATGTTTAACAGTGCATGAAATGTTGTCTAAAACAAAAAAGAATGATGCATTTTAAGCTGGATCAGGTTTTATTACATTCTGAATTGGACGTTGAAAATGAGCTTATCTCAGCCAGCAGAGAGGTCAAATCACAGTAATGCAAACTCAGTCAGAGACATAGATTTTCACTTGCAACTTGCTTTAACATGTTTAACAGTGCATGAAATGTTGTCTAAAACAAAAAAGAATGATCCATTTTATGGCTGGATCTGTTTTTATCACTTTCTGAATTGGACGTTGAAAATGAGCTTATCTCAGCCAGCAGAGAGGTCAAATCACAGTAATGCAAACTCAGTCAGATTCTGAATTGGACGTTGAAAATGAGCTTATCTCAGCCAGCAGAGAGGTCAAATCACAGTAATGCAAACTCAGTCAGAGACATAGATTTTCACTTGCAACTTGCTTTAACATGTTTAACAGTGCATGAAATGTTGTCTAAAACAAAAAAGAATGATCCATTTTATGGCTGGATCTGTTTTTATCACTTTCTGAATTGGACGTTGAAAATGAGCTCATCTCAGCCAGCAGAGAGGTCAAATCACAGTAATGCAAACTCAGTCAGAGACATAGATTTTCACTTGCAACTTGCTTTAACATGTTTAACAGTGCATGAATTGTTGTCTAAAACAAAAAAGTATGATGCATTTTATGGCTGGATCAGGTTTTATTATATTCTGAATTGGACGTTGAAAATGAGCTTATCTCAGCCAGCAGAGAGGTCAAATCACAGTAATGCAAACTCAGTCAGAGACATAGATTTTCACTTGCAACTTGCTTTAACATGTTTAACAGTGCATGAAATGTTGTCTAAAACAAAAAAGAATGATGCATTTTATAGCTGGATCAGGTTTTATTATATTCTGAATTGGACGATGAAAATGAGTTTATCCCAGCCAGCAGAGAGGTCAAATCACAGTAATGCAAACTCAGTCAGAGACATAGATTTTCACTTGCAACTTGCTTTAACATGTTTAACAGTGCATGAAATGTTGTCTAAAACAAAAAAGAATGATGCATTTTATGGCTGGATCTGTTTTTATCACTTTCTGAATTGGACGTTGAAAATGAGCTTATCTCAGCCAGCAGATAGGTCAAATCACAGTAATGCAAACTCAGTCAGAGACATAGATTTTCACTTGCAACTTGCTTTAACATGTTTAACAGTGCATGAAATGTTGTCTAAAACAAAAAAGAATGATGCATTTTATAGCTGGATCAGGTTTTATTACATTCTGAATTGGACGTTGAAAATGAGCTTATCTCAGCCAGCAGAGAGGTCAAATCACAGTAATGCAAACTCAGTCAGAGACATAGATTTTCACTTGCAACTTGCTTTAACATGTTTAACAGTGCATGAATTGTTGTCTAAAACAAAAAAGAATGATGCATTTTATGGCTGGATCTGGTTTTATTACATTCTGAATTGGACGTTGAAAATGAGCTTATCTCAGCCAGCAGAGAGGTCAAATCACAGTAATGCAAACTCAGTCAGAGACATAGATTTTCACTTGCAACTTGCTTTAACATGTTTAACAGTGCATGAAATGTTGTCTAAAACAAAATAGAATGATGCATTTTATGGCTGGATCTGGTTTTATTACATTCTGAATTGGACGTTGAAAATGAGCTTATCTCAGCCAGCAGAGAGGTCAAATCACAGTAATGCAAACTCAGTCAGAGACATAGATTTTCACTTGCAACTTGCTTTAACATGTTTAACAGTGCATGAAATGTTGTCTAAAACAAAAAAGAATGATGCATTTTATGGCTGGATCTGGTTTTATTAATTCTGAATTGGA